CAAGACAAGATGCTAAGGAGGGCCCTAGCCGTGAGAGCTTACAATCTAAAACTGTACACACATCACAAACTGCTAAATACACAGAATATATATGAACTTTTTTACCTGATAAATGAAGTCTATTTAGCTACTTCTGTGAAAGCATACCTAGGTGAATAGCCATGGCGTCACTACACCTCATATAACGAGAGAACTTCTAGTAGAGAAAAATACTAAGTGTTCTCTGAATGGCCTCTGTTATAAGTGAGCAACGCTGTGTTTTGACAGGACGGGGAGGTCACTCACCATAGCGGCTGTAACAGGGACCCAGAAGACGGTGTAGTACACTGTAGTGGCTGTGGCTACTTTCGTGTATTACAGTGAAGTAGCCATGGCCTTGCTAGGAATTATTTTTATACATATACATGTATAACTATAGCGTCAAATTGCGATGGCGAGACAACTGGGTCAGAGCAAATTAGAGCTTTTGTGGGATGTTCCTGGTCTGCAGAGGTCAGGGTCTACCTTACGTGTTCCAAGGAAGGAAATCCAATGAACTGGTGACAGGGTCATGGGTGGCCACGGCTCATTGATGTACTTTGAAGAAGAGCTGCTGGGAAACCTTGGGTCCTGCCATTCATGGTGATGTTACTTTGACATGTACCACCTACCTAAACATTGTTGCTAGCCATGCACACCTCTTCATGGAAATGGTATTCCCTGATGGCATTGGCCTTTCAGCAGGATAACGCGTCCTGCCATACTGCAAAAATGGTTTCAGGAAAACAACGATTTTGACTTTGACTTGGCCTCCAAATTCTCCAGACCTTACTACAATCAAACATCTGTGGGATGTGCTGGAAAAACAAGTTCGATCCATGGAGACCCCACCTTTTAATCTTAGGGGACTTAAAGGATCTGCTACTGACGGCTTGGTCCCAGATATCACAGCATACCTTCAGAGCTGTAGTGGAGTCCATGCCTCGATGGGTCAGGGCTGTTTTGGCAGCAGAAGGGGGACCTGCTCAAAATGTGATGGGTGGTCATAATGTTATGGCTGATTGCTATCTATCCTATCTATCTATCTATCTATCTATCTATCTATCTATCTATCTATCTATCTATCTATCTATCTATCTAATTGGACAGGGAAGGAGCAGCAGCACACTTAAAATCCGTCCATCCTCCGCTCCTGTGAACAAGTTCATGATCTTAGGCTGACCGCATTCTGCAAAGAAATAGAACCCCTACCAGACTTCTGCCCATTTCTCTCCTAGCTTGAGCGTTTCCGTGCAAAGAAGTGCAGAAAGCTATTATAATGGAGGATTCACTATTATTATTTTTTAAATTGCCTTAAGTTCAGCTTTTAATGCAGCTTTTTTTTTATGTGTGACTGAAGCGCACACCATTATTTTTATTCAGCATATTTTCCTCTTTGTTCTGTTCATGGATTCGTTTTTGAGTTTGTGTCCAGAGAGTTCACTGAGAAGTGATGTATCAGTAATTCTTCCAGCACGTGGGTGGAAAACCACACATTGATGTGAAATCTCTAACATGCTGTCAAGGTATGGAAACCTCTCCATCTATTTATACATGTTGTAAAATTGAGGATTAGCCCAGCTACGGCTGTAATTTTCCTTTATGAGGCGTGATGGACAGCACAGTGGCTTCCTGTAAGTGGCGGTGTGGGTGGGATTAGTACAATTGATGGGTTCGCCATGTGGAAATCCTTCCTGACTCCCCCAGAGTTCCACAATGTGGGTCAGTCATACATCAATCTCAGGATTTTCCAAGTGGGTGGCAGCAATGCTGATATCTAGTGTTTTTTCTTGGTCAATTGACTGTATGCTTATATATTCACTGCAGAAAAACACATTTAAGCGACAGAGGAGAAAAAATGGGCTATCAAAAAACCCTTAAATTCTTGAAGTTTCAACTCTTAGTGCCCTTTCACACCATTACGTTGTGGTATTGTGCAGCAATGAAACTTAAATGCTTTGGTGCGCGACATTGCCATTTCCAACACACCTCTGTTGCCACATATGACAAGACACTACAACTCACTAATGCTACAGGTAGGATTTTAGGTCCATTGTTGTGCACCATTTGAATGGGTTGCTTTATCGCAAAGCTCTTTAATGCAACAGACCTGACTGGTCTTACATAGTGCTGAGCACAGCCCCATCATGACAGTGCACATGTCTGTTTGCAGTGTTGACATTAGGTTGTAAGCTCCTTCAGGGGCAGGTACTGCTGTAACTGCCCTGTTTACCCTGGATCAAAATGGAAGAATGTAGGAAAGCTACAAAAACTCAGCAGTGTCCATCCAAAATTGAAATGCTAAATTGATGCAGACATTTTTGTTGTTTATCCATGAAAGATCTAGTTTTTTTTTAAGCTACGTTGAAAGTTTGGAGTTTAAGGGATACCCATCACTGGCTAACTTTGGTTATTAAAGAAACAATGTTAGGTTCCTTTGAAATAATTTTTTGTTAATTCTAAACAAAATACTGCAGCCATTTAAAAAAAAAAAAAAGCCCCATCCTGGACAAAATATGAACTTTTGAATATGATATTGTGGCAGCAGGCAGATGTGGATGTCGGTGTTCAATTGTATTAAGGAAGTTATTCCTCTAGGGGGAAGTGCTGAGAGGGCTGGAGGCTTGGAGATAACAAGCCCAGCTGAAGCTAACTGGCTTGTTAGGGCCTCTACAAGAAGTCCCAGCCTCCTAAGAGAAGGACCCCACCCTAGAACCAGACTGTGTGTCTGGTGGACTGGGGAGCAGACCGCCTGTGTGGCAAACAAGCAGCCTGTGAGGCAGTCCTCCTGTGTGGCAGGAGGACAAAGGACAAGCCTGTGTGGCCAGACGTTCTTTGGTAAAGGACCTACCTGAAGTTGGTGAGACGGAAAAATGTTTTTTTAAAGAAAATGATACTTTGTGTCTGGAAACCCCTGCGAGGGAACACCTGTGTGGACGTTTCTTTCAATTTGAATTAATAAAAGTGGGCAAAGAAGCCTAAAAGTGGGCAAAGCGAGTGGTGGTGTCCTTAATGTGCTACCGTTTGGAGCGAATCCTCACAATATATTAATATAATATTGAATGTGGGCTTTAAAGAAAACTCATGCTAGGAGCAATACATAGTTTGTCATCGATAACCACCTTTAGTGGCTTCAATACTTTCTGAGCCACTGACCTAGAACACACATGTGAATTATAAGTTCAGACTTTGCTCCAGCTTTTCTTGGATCAGTGACGGAAGTGCTGAAGCCATTGGATCAGCCTTGCAGCCATACAGCTAGAATTTTTTGAAAGGTCATCACAATCCCGCATGGATTCCCTCCCCTCTCCGCTTCGATCCTTCATCGCTGACTGGAGGAACGAACAGGGGAGGGGGCGGACACAGCTGGCTCTGTCTCTCGATAGGCAGAGACAGCTGGTACTCATGCTGCTTTTTTCTCTGAGGTTGCGATTGGCAGATGCCTCGTTCCAGAGCCAGGAATAAAACACATCCCAACCTTTGTGTTACAGCAAACTGCATTTCAAGTCGCATGCATCATTGCTGGTGTGAAATTCAATCGTTTTGGGGCAGTTTTGGGTCCTGTTATTTTAATTTCAAATACAAGAAAATAAAAACTGTGTGTGGTAGAAGCACCTAATTTTATCCCACTGGTAAACCATGACCAAAATTATAGGATGGCAGCAGAAAAAGAATATGTATTTAATGGACAATAATCCCATTAAACAAAGATTATACGCTGAAATGTAATTACAACGAAACAAAACAAAGTACTGGACCTCAGGTCTCCGAATGCTTCAGACTGCTTGAAGTATTTGTCTTCCACAAGACTAGTGCTGCAGAAACATATTTGCCATGTAATTCATTAGTACCTTGCCTCTAGGTAGGTTGTGGCAGTAGTCAAACTACAAGTCCTGGTATACCCTGCTATGCTAGGAAGCTTGACCACATGGTTCCTTTGTGACTTTGCATAAAAAATGTATCTTGATTAGTGCTGATCTAAGGTTTTGGGTCTGAACTCCCAGTCAAAAATTACACTTTGGTGACCGTTCAACCCCCCCCTCCCCCCTCAAATATTAAAGCAGAACTATGAGGTGAGTGATTTTTCACTCAACCTCATAGTTCGAGCCGACGTGTGACAATGAAACTGTCACGCGTCGGCTCTATAGATCGGGAAGTGAGCGAACGCATACTGTCGTTCACTCCCAGATATCTCCCTGCAGAGAGCGGTGACTGTCATTCACCGCCGCTCCCCGCATGGATTCCCTCCCCGCTTCGATCCTTCATCGCTGACTGGAGGAACGAACAGGGGAGGGGGCGGACACAGCTAGCTCTGTCTCTAGATAGGCAGAGACAGCTGGTACTCACGCTGCTGGGTGCATCTCGCCAGCTGTACCTCGCTATATACTGAGCTTTGGGTCATGGGAGGATGCTAGTATATGTTCTCCCGTGACCCTTAAGAGAACTATGGGATAAAAAAGCTACCCCATAGTTCTCCTTTAAAGCTAAACTTCGCGATAAGCAAATATTGTCTAAATAGCAATAACAATGTGTATTCCTACTTCAATCCTGGTGTTCTTTATGTATATTTAAAGACGTGCAGTAATTCGGTGTGAAACTTTTGCCTCTGTGCACAAGCTTTCTGTAATAAAGACCGATCAGTGCTGCTCTCTTCTTGTGCAGGCTGACTGGTCTTGTATCTGCACCCTCCTGTATAAAATTACAGTGGCTACAGATTGAAATGGAAAGGTAATTTTAATAACGTTAAAATACAAAATGGCTTGTTTAAACAAAAAAATAGTTTTTAATGTATTAAAATTTTTAAATTTAGACCCAAATCTATTATGGTCCAAGCTTTGGAGGCCTACGGATGTTATCCTGGGTTTCATGTCTGAAATTTTCCCTAAGCCTCTTGAAAACTGGTTCTTGGTGTGGGCACGTAACTGCATCAGACTTTTTATTCCCTTGTTTTAATTAAATAATTTGTCCTGTTGCCTTTTTAGCATTCCGCTGCGGCCTTCAATTCCTTGGCAATGTCGCAGGAGGGAACCAGGGTTCCCAGAATAGAATCTGGAACCACGCTTTTCCACAGCTCTTCCTGTAAGTCTGAACAAGCCCGTTTTCCATCTACTACACTAAATCCCTGTCTTATAATTAGCAATTTTGTGGCGGATGCAACTTGTAATCCAAGTGTTCCTCTACTGATAAGATTTATTTGCTTTCTATGTTTGGAGGTGAGCCATAGAACAAGAACAAGTGATCTTGATAATAAGTATTATCTGTATCCTGCTGTGGTTCAATATGGATAGACAAAACGGTAGGCGTATAATGTGAATAGCTTGTGTTCAGTGTGATAGCTATGTATTTCATGAACAAACTTTTCTGTACCTGCCATGGTTCTTGTTTATGCCAATTCATGGGAATGTCTTGAAGAGGAACTTCATGTGACCTAGCTAAAATAAAATTTCAAATCCCTAATAATTGTCCCTGCGTGAAAATAATAATGATAATCAGAGGCGTAACTAGTGACCTCAGGGCCCCGGTGCAAGAATCCATGAAGGCCTCCCTGAGAGGAAAAAAATTAGATGCATTGTTTAAAAACAAAATTTTTTAGACAAAAAAAACACAAAACAATCTTCACTTCCATGTACCCAGCTGCCCCCAATCTCCCCATTCACGTCCCCAGCTTTCAGCTCCCTGACCCCACACTCTCCTCTCGCATGTCCCCTTCATATTCTCAGCTCTCTATCTTCCCCTTCATGTCCACAGCAGGCTTCTCATACCAAGGGAGTTGGAGCTTTCAATAGCACACAGGCAGCTCTATGGTCGGCAGCCGTTCTGTGTGATGAGGGGGCGGGAATAGCCCCGCTTTCCACTAATTGGCTGCTGCGCCGGCTCGATCATATTCACGCTGTGCACGGCCCGAACAAGGTGAGGAGTGCAGTGTGAAGCACAAAGGGTCCTGATATTAGCGGTTACCGGGATATTAAATATCCTGGTAATCAGCGGTTACTAGGGGCCCCGTCCTCCTGTCCAGGGCCCCCTCTAAGTGGCGGAACTCCAGGGCCCGGTCGCAGCTGCGACCCTGGTAATTCCACCACTGATGATAATAAAACATGCTTACTAGTCCAAAGAGTCTAGCGTTGTCTCCCTTACAGCCAAAGCTCTCCTTGCACCACTCTGCTGCTTCACCGCCATCTTGAAATGAGATCCCATGCCTGTGCAGGTCCCAGAGACTACGAATTGTCTACTGTTTGACATCACAGAAGGTATTGGGTGGTTGGTTGGTCCTATGTGATCCCTGCCTGGGCAAGGATTTGGAAGGTGGCACTTGTATGTAAAAAACAAAACTTTTTTCTTTTGGGTACGGAAGGATTACATTTTTTTTTTTTATTAAGCTGTCTATTTATTTATGGAGATTTCCATTCACTCCAAAGTAAGGGAATATCCCTTCTTATCAGAACAGGTTTCCCAATTGCACAGTTTCCTCTCACTGTCTATTCCAATAACAACTCAGATATGTTAGATTTCACTTAACCGGGACCAATAGAGAGGGTAGGTTTTTATTAGTGGAAACACTAATAAAAAACAGCACTTTAAAGGGGACCTGTTTCCAGATGTTAACATGCATGTTGAAATGCATGTTGAAATGGAAAGCTGAAGAGTAATAGAAGAGCTAAAATGCTAGACCTTCCTTAAGAAAATACTCTTCCCGGGTATCCTGGCTGGTAATGGCAACAGGTCTGTAAGCCTAGACACTTAAAGAATCTCTGTAAAGGCAGAAGATCAGCCAATCTAAACTATGATCCTTTCATTTCAGCAGTGATCACATAACAGAGTGCTTTGGTCATACGTGGCCAGCAGTAATGCAATCTCGAAGCAGTGTTTTGTTTTTTTCCAAGGTTGGTGTTTCACCCCTACTGTTCTACTCTTTATCGATTCCAGCAAGACTGGCATCCTACCTATATAGTAAAGTAGACCTGGTACAAATGTGGTCATAATAGCTAGCCATCTACAGTCTCTAAACTAACATTTTATTTTAGAACTAGGTGCACAATTCTAGTTCTAGCACCACATTGTCTACATTAGCAATGAGGAACCAATCATTGTGGCTCCCAACCATGGGGTCACAAGCCTGCTTGCTTCATCTGTCACCGTGCCTCAAACAGAGGATTACACTGAACCTTTTGTAAAAGGGGGTGCATGAAACTTAGATGGCCAAACCAAAATTTGGAATGTCAGTATGCTCTATATGCTGTACGGGGGCAACACACTCCGTGTAAATGAGGCCTTACTCTATGACTAATATGTTGGTTAGACATTGAGGTTTATAATTTAGGGTCATGCAAAGGTGCAACCTCCTAGTTCTCCACTGAAACCTTAATCAGCATGGGCATGGCGAAGGGCTTCCTGTATGAGAATTTAATTTAATGTATTGCTGTAATGGCTACCTTTTAGTGTAAACCACTGTTAATACAAAGAGAATTGCAATTATTGACTTTTGCCTCTCATCTCCACTTGTGCAACTAGGATGCAAGGAGAACATGCGTCTTCACACCATTCTGGTTTTTAAAATTCTTTCACATATGTTTGGGTGTTACTGACACAGGGATCAAATATTTATGTAGGGCATAGTGGGATTGATCTGTAATGTGATTTTTATTTTTATTAACAGCTACTCTTTGCTTTTTGTTACAGAAGCTGCCTGTCACATGAAGATGAGAAAGTTGCCACTTATGGTTCCATGGTGCTTTTTACTTGTATGGGGGAAGATAAAATGGCTGACTTCATGGTTCCTGCGAATCTCAGGGTTGCCGTTAGTGTTATCACAGCCTCCAGCAAGAGGCCATATGTTGATTGGTTGTATGTGTTTCTTATGAACAATTTCCTTTCTTTACTTTTCATCCCTTTTTACTTGAACTCCTCCATTTTTTGTAACCTTTTTGTCCTACACTACATGGCCAAAAGTATTTGCACTCATCTCCAAGTTATTAAGTCCCTGTGTTTTCAGTGAAGGCTACTGTTAATGATACAGCATACAAAGATATTTTAGACAATTGTCGATCTCCAATCTTGTGGAAACAGTTTGGGGTAAAGCCCTTTTCTGTTCCAGCATGACTGCCCCTGTGTACAAAACCAGTTCCCTAAAGACATGGTTTGATGAGTTTGGTGTGAAGGAACTTTAATGGGCTGCACAGAGCCCTGGCCTCAATCCATAGGTTCTTCCTTCCACCCACCTCCACGTCACTGCAGGACACCGTAATCTGCACACTGGGGGACCAGGAGATTGATGCTTCCACAAGTGAACAGACTTTAGTGGACGATTTCTCTTCAATTGAGATCCTTTCAGCGGCGCAGGTGGCGGGAGAAGCATTTTACTTTCTACTTCTTTTGCAGAGACTTTTGGGCAATTTCATCTACAGGACAGGGTCACTTTAAAGTAAACCCATCAGTTTATTGAAAGTATGTAATTTGAATATTGTGGCCATTAACATTCCAGCTCAGGAATAATAGCTGCAAATAATATAATGCATATAAAGAAAATCTGTTTTGATAAAGCAGCTGTATGGCCTAGATGCAAATCCCGCTGTTGTTTCCCCCAATACTGCTTCGTGTTTTGTTTGGGTAGCCTACTTCAAAAGAATGTGGCCCTAATCCCCATTAGTCCAGAGACCTCCAGTTGGTCCTATGAAATACCTCTACCGAGATAAAAAGGGAACAAGGAATTGCGTGCAAGCGGAGGTTTTCTCTGAATGAATGGCTCGCAGAACAGAAAATCCTCCCACTTCAAACACAAAAAGAAAAGAGGGAGAGAAAGTTCTTGTTACATTACTGTTATAATCACAGTCATGGCCGGACATCCAGATCCCACATCATTTTCGTGGGAGCCAGAAGATGCCGGTCAGTTCTGCGCACTTGGCAAGCACGCCACACAGATGTACAACCCCACTAACGCCTCTTAGCCATTTTTGAAGTTAAGGTGTGGACAATGGTGGTATTGTACCAAACTGGATGCCAGCCTAGAAATCAAGTACTCACATGCTCCGTGTAAGTGGAGACAATGAGTCCTCTTAATCATTCCTCTTCTCTTTGGTCTTCACCAGGCATCTCTTTAGCCCTTGCTTCTATCTGTATGGAATGTGAATCACATTGATGTAGCAGCTTAGTGGAAGTCGAGGCATATTTTTCATTTGTAGCAGTCTTTCTCCCTAATTAATGTGCCTTATTTTTTAAGTTATTGTGCGGAAGTCAGTATTCTTGCAATATCAGGTCCGAAATCTCACTTTGATCTGGGTAAAGTTACTTTGGGCTGTAATAGTGGCATGCATTAAAATGTTGGTGCATTTGCGACTTCAGAAATCAGTATGTGTGTTTTGTAGGTGGAACCCTCCACTGACATGAGCCTCTTTTTCAAAAGACAATTTTACAGTACCTCCTCCAATTAATTTTATTAAGTAATGGGTTGGCATGAACTCAGACCTTCCCTTCTAAACCATGTCTTTACTCTGGGGTCTAGATTTCTGCTTTAACCTCCCTGGCGGTATTCCCGAGTCTGGCTCGGGGTTAATATTCAGTACCAAGAGCGGTAACCCCGAGCCACACTCGGGGTTGCCCAAAAGTGTCACTTACCTTGTCACTGCGAGCCTGCGGTGCCCTCAGTTTCGTTTTCGGGCGTCACAGCGGGGGGGGTTGGGGTGTGGAGCCGGCAGGAAATTCACAACTGCAAACATGACATTTACACAGAATACACACAATACAATGTAATCTGCTATAATTACATATATTTATTATTTATTTCACTTCAATGTTGTCCCTAGAGCTTTGTCTAGTGCCCTGCCTGCACTTTTACTGTACTCTATTGACTGTGGCACGGATCAGGCAGCGCCTGCAGAATTCCCATTTACTGGACAATTTTTTTAATTATTATTTTATAATTTATTATATTATAATTTCTTATAATTATT